GTGTTTGTATGGCCCGTTCTCGGGCCTCCCAAAGTGCTGAATCACAGGCTTGAGCCACCGCGCCTGGCCAAGTCTGTCTATGTTTGTGTACTGCTGTGGGTGGCCCATTGCATGGACGAGCCATGGTTTGTCCACCAACCTGCTGGTGGATGGGCTGTTTCCGTTAACACGGCTAGCGGACGCGATGACCGCTCTTGGGTACCAGGTGTGAGCGTCCCGCTCTGGGAAGCTGGGCGGCCAAGTGGTTTCTCTGCCCAGCACTTTCAGAAGTGGATACTTGCAGAGAGAAAGGTTTCGGAGGGCAGCATGGCAGTGTGGCACCAAACATCACAGGTGGAGAGTCACATCCTCCATGGTCCAGAAAGTCTGTGATGGGTGTGTCCTCCAGGCATGGGGGCATGTGGGCACCAGGACACAGTGCATGGATAGTCACAAAAGCTTCATGTAGTAGCTGTTAACCGGAAACAGCCCATCCACCAGCAGGTGGATGGACAAACCATGGCCTGTCCATGCAATGGGCCACCCACAGCAGTACACAAAACATAGACAGACTTGGCCAGGCGCGGTGGCTCAAGCCTGTGATTCCAGCACTTTGGGAGGCCGAGACGGGCAGATCACGAGGTCAGGAGATCGAGACCATCCTGGCTAACACGGTGAAACCCCGTCTCTACTAAAAAATACAAAAAAAAACTAGCCGGGCAAGGTGGCAGTCGCCTGTAGTCCCAGCTACTAGGGAGGCTGAGGCAGGAGAATGGTGTAAACCCAGGAGGTGGAGCTTGTAGTGAGCTGAGATCCGGCCACTGCACTCCAGCCTGGGCGACAGAGCGAGACTCCGTCTCAAAAAAAAAAAAAAAAAAAAAAACGTAGACCGTGGCCTGTCCACGCAATAGGCCACCCACAGCAATGCACGAAACAAATCATGGGGACACAGCGAGCCTGGCAGGTCCCACAGACGGAGTCCCAGGTGAAGGATGCCCACCAAAGAGAATCCACCCCAACAAGGCACAGAGATCTAGTGGACACCCAGTCCTAGCCCCTGGAGCTGTGTGCATGACCACAGAATGGCGAAAAGGACTTGTGGATGTGATAAGGTGAGGACCCCGAGGTGGGGAGGGTCTCCGGGATAGTCCAGGTGAGCCCTAAATGTAATTCTGTGGCAGGGAGCAGGAGATTTGATCTGCACAAAAGAGGAGGCCATGTGACCACAGAGGCCGACCGGGATGAGACAAGAGGGATCTTCCCCGGGCCCCTGGATTTGGGCCCAGGGAAACTGATTTTCAGCTTCCAGCCTCCAGAACTGTGAGGGGATCAGTTCCTGTTGTTTCAAGCACCCGGCTGTGGCAGCTTGTCATGAACACCTGTCCTGTCTCGCTAGGTGCGTGTTGGACTTGGGTGGGGAAGAAGGAAGGCTTTCCTGGGTGTCGGTAGTTAGGGGCAGACAGTGGTGCTGGGAGGGCCTGTAGGGGGCTGGGGGCTGATGGAACTCTGTCCTGTCCTCCTTTTTCTGGCTACAGTTCACAGTGGAAACTGGACCTGGGGACAGGTCAGGGGACACCATGCTGTGACGAAGGTCTTGAGCCTTTTCCTTATGTCAACGTACCGGCTTCTGGATACTTGAGGGGTTAACAGTAGAGTCACTTCTGTCCTGTTTCAGCACAGACAGCACTTCCTCGGGGCAGGAGTAGGAAGCCCACTCTTCTATGCTCGTGGGTAAGTCTTCCAGTTGTTTGTTAGGAGCTGGGCTTTGGCACTAGAAAGGCGAGAATGCAGGATTTCCCTGAAACGGTGGAAACAGCAGACGCCGCCCCCCGCCCCCACCGGCATGGCTGTGCAGCAGGCAGGCCACAGCCCTGGGGAGCCGGCATCCCCCCGACCAGCAGACCCCAGCGAGCACCCAGATCCAGCCTCTGACACTGTTTCCAGGCAGTGCACGCAAAGCTTTCTGCCCTGTGCACAGCCAGAGTCGGCCTGGGGGTGCCCAGGCTCAGGACTTCCAGGAGCTATGGCTCTGCAGCCTCTGCCTCCTGCATCTCCCCTCAGTGACAGCTGACTGGTGAGCTCAGCAGTGCTCGTGCCAGGGTCCAGGTGTGAGCGTCCCGCTCTGGGAAGCTGGGCGGCCAAGTGGTTTCTCTGCCCAGCACTTTCAGAAGTGGATACTTGCAGAGAGAAAGGTTTCGTGGGATTAAAAAAACACTTTTCTCACTGCTCTGGGACTCAGACCCTGGGCTGTGTCTACTGCCATGGCCTCCGAGCCTGGCAGACCTGGGACAACGTGCTTTGTGCAAGCCGCATGCGTTACGTGGCTAGCTCCAGGCCTGGGATTCCTGCCACGGACAAACCAGGGTGCTTTACAGACATTCCCTCGCATTGTCCTCCAAGCACCCTGACAGGGAGAGAAACCGGGGCACAGAGGCCGGCCAGGGCCCAGCCTCTGCACTGAGGCCACCTGGGGCTCCTCCGAGAACCCTGACAGGCAGGGAAACTGAGGCACAGGCCATCCTGGGCCCGGCCTCTCCACCGCGGCCGCCCGGGCACCACCTGCTTGGGCTCCTTGGCTTTCTCCTCCTTTCCCTTCTCCTTCTCCTTCTCTTTACTCCTCTCATTCTCCTTCTCTTTTTTAGGCAATAACAGATGTGAGCTGGTTGCTGCCAGGGGTCCGCTTTCTAGAACTGATTTTCCTGCTGTCATCAAGGAAACCTGGGCAGGGATGAAATCCACGTTTGCAGCACTGAAAACCCACCCGCCACCCACCCCGCCCACCCTCCACTCCTGGGTGAGGGACGCTCAGACCCACAGGGCTCCCCAAGCTCTAGCGCTCTGGTGGTCTTACGTCCCATCAGCTGCTGTCAGGTGAGGCCCCTAGAGCACAGAGCGGGGCTGGCCGGGGGTGTGGGCACTGGGGGCTGCAGGGACATGCCCATGAGCACGCTGGCTCCGCGGGTGTCCCTCAGTCTCACTCCACAGCAGGACACCCCTGGCCCTGGGGCTCCCTGCTGACCATCCCACACCTTCCCTGCAGCGGCTCTTGTCGGGGCTGTGCCCAGGCAGGGAGGACACTGGGCACGTCTCCTTGGCAGGTCCTGCCGGCCCCTCGCAGCCCTGACACGTGTGGGCGTTTGGAGCAGGTGTGGCTGGCCCCTCGCAGCCCTGACACGTGTGGGCGTTTGGAGCAGGTGTGGCTGGCCCCTCACAGCCCTGACACGTGTGGGCGTTTGGAGCAGGTGTGGCTGGCCCTGGGGGGGACTTGCCACTCCACGGGTGAATGAGTTCAAGGTCTCTAATTAAGAACCCATGAGAATAACGTTGAGCGATTCTCCTAGAAGGGTCACAAAGAATGGCGGCTTGGGCGCCCATGGCCCCAGGTCTGGCAGTGGTGGAGGCTGGTGGGGGGCTGGCATGGAACATTCTGAAGACGGGATGAGGGGGCCTCCCTGCCTTTCCTGCTCTGCCCATGGCTGGGCCGTGTCCCTGTTGATCCCGAGATGCCCTATGGGGGTTCCGGGCAAACTTGTCCTCAGAAGAAGGGCCTGCCATGCCTGGCGCTGCCCTGCTGGGTGTAGCCTGCAGGAGGCCTGGACAGGCGCAGGGGGCAGCCCCCAACAGTGCTCCTGGTGGGCTTCACAGGGAGAGGTGGTAGGAGGAGCAGGATAAGGAGGGGGGTGGGAGTGGGGCACAGAAGAAGGTTCTGGAAGCCCCATCAGCGGGCGGTTCAGGAGCTGTTGGGCCCCAGCTGCCAACAGAGGCGCCTGCTGCTGCCTGGGCGTGGCGAGCCAGGCAGAGGCAGTTTTGGGTGATGGTCAGCAAGGGCACTGGGGCGGGTGTCAGGGAGGACTGGCTGATCTGGAGGGAGCCATGCGCCCTCCCTTGGGGAGTGCTGGGAATGTGGAGGGTGCAGGAGTGAAGAGGGGAGTCTCTTGTTTTCATGCCGATGGAAATCATCCGGTAGAGAGGAAGAACCCGGATGTCGCAGGAAACTGCTCACATCTCAGAGGTCTTTAGGAAATGCTGGGAAAGGCTCTGATGCCTTTAGAATGCTCACTGCAGTTTCCCCAGCTCACAGCCCGTCCCGGGAGGCATTGCAGGGACAGGAGAGCCTTCGCTGGGCCTCACCTGCCAGATGTGCCTGAAGAAGGCATAAGCTGCAAGGCAGCAGTCCTCGTAGCCCTCGGCACCCGGCGACAGCACCAGTGCCAGCAGGATGTGCACACGGGCCAGCGCCTCCAGCTGCCGCACACTATGTAGCTGCTCCAAGGACACCACCTCCCCGGCCTCGGACACGGAGCTCTGTGGGGGCATCTGCATGGCCATGTACTCCCCTGAAACACGGGGTGCCCAAGGCTGAGAGCAGGCCCGGCTACGGGTCTGTGGGCCCCAGGCCACTCCCTTCCCTGCCTGAGGCTGCGGGGACTGTATGGTGCCTCGCCGACCCCCGGTGCTCCACTCTGCTGAGGGCCGGGAGCCAGGGGAAGAGCCACGTGTTGCACTTACTCTGCGAAGGCTGAGCTTGGCCGCCCCCTCATCCCCAGGGGCGGCTCCACTCTCAGCTCCAGCCCCAGGTCCCCAGGCCCTGAGGGCTCTCCTGCTGCCTTGTGTGTCCTGGAAGCCTCATGAGCTGCACCTGGCCTGGGCACCCCATTCCTGTCCCAGACTGTCCCGAGGGCCTGGGAGTTCTGAGCAGGGCCCCCACTCATCCTGACAGGGGTAGGAGCAGCAGCCACGGGGAGGGTGGCCCTGAGCAAGCCAGCATTGACAAGTGCTCTAGGACGGCCCGGCTGTGTGCACGTGTATGTGTGTGTGTGCGCGTGTGTGTGTGTGTGTGTGTGTGTGTGTGCACGTGTATGTGCGTGTGTGTGCGTGTGTGCATTTGTGTGCGTGTGTACATGTGTGTGCGTGTGTGCATGTGTGTGCAGTGGCCACCCTCGCTGGGCTCTGCCAGCCTCTGCTCTTCATGGCAGGCCTGCGGGAACCACCCCATGGGACTCTCCAGGCGCACCTGCGCTCCCCACAGAGTTTCTGCCCCGGGTCACCCTGAGCTGATGCCCAGGCACTGGCGGTGTTTACGCTCTGGACGATGCCAGTGGGGCTGCCATCGTCTGCCCAGGTCCCCACTTACCAGCAAACCCCCACCTCCCTGCACTGCTGTGAGCAGGGGCCGGGTGGCCAGGGGCCTGCGGAGGAGGAGCAGCTGGAGAAGGGAGCCCCTACCTCGAGTCGGAAGCCACTTTGGGGATGGCTGAGGTGCCCACAGGGTCTGAGGTCTCCCCCAGCCTCCTGAGGAAGGCAGCCTCCGGGCCGGCCCAGCTGTGTGCCTGAGGACATGGCTTCTCCCTGACCTGGACAGAACCTTTCTGTGAAAGTCGTCTGGTGGGGGTCAGGCTGAGTCCCTCAGGGCCCCCGCAGAGGACAGCGCTGTGACGCATCGGGGCTCCTGGCCTCCAAAGCCTGCACGGACACGTGGATGCCCAACGGCCGTCCAGCCACGGAGCGCGAAGCAGAGCTCTGGGGGAGCTGCGTGGGGTCGGCACCCTGCCAGCGGAGTGGGCTCACCATCCGGCGTGGGCTCTGCCTCCGGGGCGTCGCTGGGCGGCTTCATGGCCAGCAGGATCTCGACGGCCCAGCGGAGGTGGAAGACCACGTCCTCTAGAGGAAAGTGTCTGTGGTGGAGCCACTGGCCGAACTCCATGAGGTACTCCACCTTCTGCCACTCCGTCTCAGGCTTCTGTGGGGGTGAACAGAGAGGGTGACACCCTCGCGATAGCCCTCGAGGCTTTCCTGATGCAGTGAACACTTTCATTGCTCACTTTCTAGAAGAAAAGGTTCACTCTTATCCCACAGTGACCGTTTGGAGGCTGCCTCTAACGAGGTCAAGCTGCCGTTTAGGCTCATTGGGACGTTTCAGGCACAGGCGAGGCGGCGCTGCTGTTTCTTTACACAGGCAGCGTGTGGGCAGGCTGCAGCTTGGCGAATCCTTCCCTGTCTCCTCACCCTCTGCAGGTGCCACCTCCTGGGGCGTCCCGGGTCCCCAGGCATTCCCTGCACCGCAAGAGGACACGGGACAGGGGTCCTGCTGTCGCCCTGTCTGTGGGTGGCCCTGTCTGGGTGGTTCTGCGGGCAGCCCCGTGTCCCTGCTGGAAAGGACGCCTCCTCAAGGCAGGAAAGGTGCTTGCCCTGTCCTGCGTCCAGATGCAGAGTCCAGTCCAAGGCCCGGCCGGGGCAGACTTGGCCACCGTCGCTACAGAATCGGATGAGACCACCCTAACCTGACCTTTGCAGAGCAGAGCCCCAGCCCTGTGAGCCCGGGGTTAGCCTGCACCGCACCATCTGCAGCCCTGTGAGCCGGGGTTAGCCTGCACCGCACCCTCTGCAGCCCTGCGAGCCGGGGTTAGCCTGCGCCGCACCCTCCGCAGCCCTGCCGGCCGGGGTTAGCCTGCACCGCACCCTCCGCAGCCCTGCCGGCCGGGGTTAGCCTGCACCGCACCCTCTCCAGCCCTGCGAGCCGGGGTTAGCCTGCGCCGCACCCTCTGTAGCCCTGCCGGCCGGGGTTAGCCTGCACCGCACCCTCCGCAGCCCTGCCGGCCGGGGTTAGCCTGCACCGCACCCTCCCCTCCACAGGTGTTGCGGAGGCCACAGCCACACTCTTCTCCAGCAGGGTGGACCTCGCATGGGTGTCGCCGCCACTTCATTTCTGCTGCCAAATATCTGTGGCTCTCTGAGCGCTGGCCCATGCCACTTATTCAGCCCACGAATCTGCTGGGGGTTCCCTCTGTGCCCGGCACTCACGCTGCATCGGCCGTCATAAGCAGGTGCCTGTGGGCCTCAAAGCACAGATGCTCTGCAGGACACACGGCTCAGGACCAGAGACCCAGCGGTAGGAGGAAGGGGCCTCACCCGGCGGAAGCTGAGGAGAGCCTTGAGGCGCTGAGAAATGCCATGGGGGGTGTTTGTGGAGAGGGTGCTCTGGGCAGGGGTGCAAGGCCCTGCAGTGCGGGCAAGACAGGAAGGGACTGAGCCACAGCACTGTGGGCTGGAGAATGCGGACAGCAGCTCTGACCTGGACCTGGGGAGCCTCCCACTGCTCTGCAGAGAACAGGCCGGGGTGAGCCAAGAAGAGGTTAGCGCTGCCCACACAGGGAGACGGAGAAGAGCCCAGGGCAGCAAGGAGAGGGGTCTGGACAAATCTGAGGGCAAAGCCCATCGTGGAGCGTTGGATGGCGGGTGTGAGCGTGGAGGGGTGTGGGAGGGTGTGGGATGTGGGGTGTGTGGGATGTGGGGTGTGTGTGTGGGATGTGGGGTGTGAGTGGTGTGTGTGGGATATGGGTGTGAGTGGTGTGTGTGTGGGATGTGGGGTGTGAGTGGGATGTGGGGTGTGTTGGGGTGTGTGTGTGTGTGGGATGTGGGGTGTGTGT